TCTTGCTTACCTCATCGAGAAACATTTTCTCCCATAGTGCGATATATGGTGCAAGATCCATCCCTCCATTTATGAAGTTTTGATCGGTCGCTTTCGACACAGAAGCTGAGGCGTACTCAACTTAGCCGAAAGCCAGCTAAGTTTATAATGCTACTGGAATTCACTATACACATGACTAAGTTAGGTACCAAAATGTGGCTGACACCGTCGACAATAGGTAATCCTGATGAAGATTTTTAATGCTGACTTATAGTAAACTGTTTTACCCTACAGTGCTCACGTTTGAGCTTATTATTGCTTGGTTATTTCAGGAACATTCCTGTTGTTAAGAACCTGAAGCATGTCGTCGCAAAATACCCTGCGGATGCTCAAAACATAAGTGTAGGAATGTATTCTCTGAGGGATGAAGAAAAAATTGTAGATTTTGCATTGCTATCAACCGCAGCAAATGTGTTGCGCACGATTTGCGCACCATCAAGATTGGTCCCATCAAAATTCGTTATGTGGTTCACGGGATGAAAGAAGTGAACTATGTATCTAATCTTTTATTTAATAAACTAGTAAAACGATGCTGTTGGGTTAATGTATGGTCTCGAAAAATTGTTCTTCCAGCAATTCTACATTTTCAATGCTGCTGTCAACATTGGTCTTGTTTGGGCTACTGTTTGTAAATTTTAACTAATTTCTTTTAGCAAGGTGCAAGCTTTCATGTTGTGATGCCACCAAGACAAAATAAACGCGAGAAATTTGGATTTTTTTCCAGGTCCAGCGGATACAGTGTATAATTTGTACATAACAGATGCCTTCCACTAGCACGTGTCTGTAACGGTGCACTTCTGTTCAAAATTTTAAAAGCAAAAAAAACATAAAACAGTGGGTATCCCACATATGGTGCTACTCTGTTCTACCGAAGAAAGCAAAATTGGATTTTGCCAAACAGCTTGCCAAAAAGGATAAAAATGCTTATTGCCACGGGGAGATATTTTCTTATGACAACCAACAGAACCTCCGTTTCTGCTTATAACAGCAAAGACTGGGTAAATCACAAATGAGGGATATATTCGAATCCTATTCCTGCTTAGAAGCGTGCTTGTTTAGCACGAAATGTCACAACAGCAGATTCGTAGTCGGATTTGTTTCGCCAGGTTACCTTGGTTATGGATACTTAACTATGTACCAGATCGAAGAAGGGTAACATTAATGACCTTGGATATGATCACCGATTGGCCGCTAAACCATGAGGAAGATCATGTAGATCCAGTCATTTCGGAATACGTGTTTAGTAGCATTTACTCTAGCACGTCCGGAAGACAACCTTCCGTGTTATTTACTGAAATCCGTACGTGTTTAGATTTGAAGAGAGCTTCACAACACAGACGTCTGCATGGATGAGTTATTCAGTTGCTGAACCACAAGTGGAGAACCTGCCCTCTGTTTCGTGCATCTTCATTTAAGAATAGGAATTTACGTTATACCGCGCCCAAAAATCCTTGATGTGTATAACTGAAACAAAAACAACATGATACCGATGATTTGGTTCAAATGTAGAGCTTTACGGACGTTTTAATTGATCATTCGCTGTGATGAAAGTTATAAATAACTCTGGACCGTTTTCTTGATTCTTTCTACTTGTTTGAATCCCCTGGTAATTTATGGGCTAAATGATGTCTGCAACTACCAAACATGAAGGTAACGGCATTTCAGAAGGCACTCGTGCAGGTTTTTTTATGCAGTTTCCTCCAACGTCGTCCAAAGTAAAACATTTGCAGCTGAGTGGAATTTACAAAATCCGCCTGCAGTTCTAGACGTTGTAATATCCACCAGACAATAGATGATTACTTCTCCTGAGAGTAAATTCTATCGACAAATCGTGTATGTGTTTATTAGTTGTTCTAGAAACGCGATAGTTCAAAGGGAATATTATAAAACACGTAAAAAGGCCACATTTGGCTCTGAGTGCAATATTGTTTGGAGGCGAAATTTAAAAATATTTGTCTTATATAGTTAACGATTAATTGGTTAAACATTTATACTGAAATACGCCATAACGAACGCTAACGTCGACAGTTGAAGTGATTCCATCTTCAGAATGATCTGGTTGTCTTGCAAAACGAAGATGGATGAAGAGCGAAATTGCTGGCCAACTAATAGAATACGCCTGTCAAACCAAAACCCACTGGTTGTTGTACTCGTCCGGATAGGAAATCTTGATTGATCAGTGTGCGAACGTGACCGGAAACTGATCAACTGGAAAAAGTATCGGTTCTGATTGAATGGCAAATTGATCTAAGATGTGGGGAGAAGATTTAAAATGCTGTGAATGAAGAGAGATAAAACAATTAGTCGCGTTTATCAGCCCGTTCACAATTCAGTTGTGTAATTAATGGCTTATACACGCGTTTAATATGAGGGAATTAAGATACAGAACATAAAGCGTTTTCATATTTTGAGTTTTTGGAAGTTGGAATTGGGACATATAATCAGAGGTACATTATGAATTATTTAAAATACACAAGGGATACCAAAGGATGTTTCTTAATCCTGCATAACTGCAATAAAGTAGATTTGGGACTGCAAGCAACACATTAATTAAGCAATTTTCTACGATCATTCTTGAGAAGACTTTGCAACTATGCCAGCGCTTTGAGACACTGCTTTCTTTCAGACCAGAACGCTTTGAACAGGTTTCCAGAAACCGTTTAGTAAAGAAGATACGGATCTCTCCCAAATCCCCATCTTGCTATTTCCCCTGAGCAAGTACTGGATATTTCGGTTACCAATCGCATTCTCGATTTGTCGTTCGCCACGTCTAACGGCCTAATATCAGTTTACCTACTGGTTAACACAGATTATACCAGCATTACCTCAAAATCTAAGATATCAAACGGGCCCGTATCATCTTACAAATTTTGGATGGCAGGTTGTCTTATGTTCGCTATATCTGTTCTTGTTGAAAAAGGCCTTTGTAGAAGTATATTTTATCCTAAGACGATGATACCAGATTAGGTGCGCTCAAGTTAACTAGCAGGAAAAGATGTCGAACAGGATCATTATGTTCCTTGACCGCTTAGGTAACTTCCGACCACTAGGTATCATTCAGTCGGCAATCCAGTAATCATCCGGATCCAACAAGTAATCATGGTCCCCTTCAAACGTTTACGACGTTCACCTATAAATGTATACAGCATGTAAAGCGCTGGATGATATTTTTTAACTGCAGGTCATAATTTGTTTTCTTTTTTAGCTTTAAAAGGGAAGTTGAAGCAAATGGTCAACTGTAAAGTCTTGGGGGTTTAAACGTTCGTGAACATCATGGTAACTAACCAGCGATTAGGATACGTGGTTACCCGATCAATATTCACACGTCCAACAGTGAAATAACACAGTCTTTTTTTAGTTGATGGAACTAGAACGTCCGTGATGTCACCTGTTCAACATTCATTAGCGTGACGATTCTCCCTCGAAGCTTTTCCATAAATATATGCCAGTTTTTAGATGGTGAGAATGATGGGCGGGAGAAAGTGTGTCGTTAGCTCTCCAGAAGATTTCTCAAAAACATCATGCCTGACAAGGATGTCCACTATCTCCATTCTTGTGCAACCCCATAACTGATAGAATAATGAGGCGAACGATGAATGGTTTTCAAACCTCCTGATGAGAGCCTTGTTGGATATGACATTGACCTCTAATTTGAAAGCCAAAAGGAAGCACAAGCCTTGTTGACTAGATACACCACCATCATACCATTAACGGTACGTGCTTCGCAACTCCAAAGTACAAAGTCATGCCTCAGAACGCACAGTCTCTGAAAGCATTCATTACAATTCAAGGGGAATCCCAATTGTTGTCTCCGTTTCGTTTCTACTGTTTTTGTATAACACGTGTTACATTCATTCTTATGCAAAGAATTGTCATGAATCTCGATAACCAATACCTGGGAGTAACACCTGAAAGTTGTAATGTTATAGCCTGAATTCTAAGCATGTTAGTGAGATGCGAAAATGTGCACTGTGGATTATATGGCTTTGTTCCGTGTAAAACATCAATGAATACACACAAATCTGAACACTCAAAACAGCTACTTCTGCGGGTAGCATAGCTACTTAGTCAAATCTACCATCGTTATTCTACTAAAGAAGAAGGAGCTGCCTTTAAACACAAGGTCCGTTTGTGGATGTATGTGTTGCAGGAACCTAACGTTTGCAGACAATTAGCCCGTGAATATCTATCCATGACCACAAGTGACCACAGTATTCCGTTCATGATATTTGTTAGTTCCAACATGACTGGCCGGTGCGGTTAATCAAATGTGTCGAAAAATCTGTCAACACATGCGCCTATTGCTGATCAGCCTAAAACCTGCGTTAGACTCTTACTACCCACCAGGAAACTAAGGCAATTTTAGCAGTTGCATCTTTGAATTTACACTCCCCTCTCGCCTACCATTTATAGGTATATTGTATTTGGATAAGCTTGTGAAAACCATTCATGATAACTGCAACCCATATACGAAAAAATGTTGGAAATTTGAGAAAAATCACTGCCAGTTTTTTCAACAAACAAGGTAAAGCTGCAGAGTGATACACAGGCTTTACTATGGGTTTTATCACTTGCAGAATTCAACCATCAGCATATCTTCAAAGTGAAACACCCAGTAAACAATTCACCGAATCTGATACACAGAGAATCAGGCATTATCTGTGTTTTTCGGCCTGCCTTTTGATCATTCATCTGTTAACTGTCTTGAAATGTTACAAAAGTTACCAAGTAATGTTGCAAACAAAACGCACAATAACTGCTTCGAAAAAAAGCTACAGTGGGCCAGATTCCGGGTTTAGAGAAGTTCCTCCTGTTTTTTCTTCCACGTGTACACGAGTTCATCGGTCATTAATCACAGAGTGTGTTTTATGGGTTTTTCGTAGTGTATTCATCTACAGTTTGCTACTGTTTGTTTATGACGTGTTCCAAATAATTAGTTGGTTATTGCTCTTTTCTCCAAGATGCGAAACAAAGGTGCATCTGTGCTTGGATTCCATTACCTCTTGCCCGCGCTGGTTTCTACAGGATGGGAAATAAACGGACTTCCTAAGCGTGCCAGTATGTAAGGTAACTATAAACAAATGTCGAACGCTGAAGCAATTAGTGCTAAGCGAATAAGCAAACTCTTGTCAATGTGTCGAAAAGATGTGTATACAATCGGAATATTTTCAAAGTGACCAATTTCAAAAAGCTCTGTGCTGTTATATTCATCCAGATATTACAGGGATGGACCCCTGCTTATCAGATACGGTGCCACAGTAACGGAGTCTGGTTCCAGATGCCCCTTTTCACGAGAAGGAATGAACTCTGCTCAGCTGTTTTTGGTTACGTGGCACACAATTCCATGTGCATTTACTTTAATCGAATAGACGATCAGGACTAAAGTAGAGTAAAACGCACAAATGCAAAACGGGATTTTTCCTCCTTCCAAAGCGAGAACAAGTTGGCCCGTTGGGTTTTTAACTAAAACTGCAATTGACACACTGTGCAACCCTAAACCGGAGCAATATATAAGTCATCAAATCACGATTTTTCACAATAAACTTAAACTATTTATTCCAATAACTAGCTTCAAACTTAGAACCAGATAATTATTTCCCATGTGTCCGTCATTCATTCGGTACGAGATTTTTAAGGGAGACAGGCGGCGGATATCATTATTCGGCAAATTTTCAGCTAAAGTAAACAGGCGAAATAAGTATTTTCAATTGCAAGTACGGAAAAGAATGAAAAAAGTAAAATCTTTTGTGTCAGGATACAAAAGTGCCGGGTATCAAGCTATAAAATGTGAAACAAAAGTGTTTCACCTACTTATTGGCTGACAAGTACAAATCCTTTCTCAAACGTGTTTCATCGGTCAATTTTAATCAAGTAATTAATTTTTCGGTGAGAAAAACAATATTACCACAGCATCCACGGGGTGATTACTGACAGACTCGTTGCCCACCAAAACGGTTGCAATTTTTTCAAAAGTAAAATGTTCAAATCAATCTTCCTTAGGCTGAATAACTCACCATTTTTTCGGCTAATTTCGCTGCGTTTCTGAGTGCATTACCTTCAATATCTCTCAACCTAGTGCATCTCTCTATGAAATTCCTTAAGTTCAACTGGTTTACTTTCTATCTTAAGCTGTCAACAGCGGGAGCAGCCGTAGATGAAAAAAAGTAGTGCTACGTCATCCATCGGGAAAGATACTTAAATTAAAAATTATCATCGATTATCGCTGGGGAAAGCTTAGATAAGTATTGATGCATTGCCCAAATCTCTTCTAACGTACTTGGAGCAAGTCAGATATCCCACGATTTCATATTTCGCACTTATTGGGCATTTCAGTTGCGATGACCTAAACGGCTATTGAAGCTACGGAAACAAATTCTTAGAATGAGTCGAACAATCAAAACGTTTGCTTTCCTGCCGATCGCTTAATTCTCAGCCCTCGAGTCCAAAATGTTCACAAAAAACGTGGCTTTAATAGGAGCTGCTTAGAAGGTAACTTTGATAACACGATTGAAAGAGAAGCAATTATTCAAACAAGTTCAGTTTTTTTCACTTCCCAGGGTGTCTATCTCTATCAATCAAGCCTAATGCGCTTAATCAGCAGGTTTGTTGAATTAACTGTCGACGAGATATTCGATTGTCTGGGAAACTGATATTCAAATAGAGTTTTAGTAGCAACTAAATTTACACTCGCAACAATGGCAAAACATTTCATTAGCAGCAGACGTAATTACCAGTTGTTCTCAGATGAACGTTAATCATACTAGGTTTACGGTATATGTATACCAACCGTTTGAGACAACGATAAATTGTCTAGGTGTGATAAATACGAATAGAACAGAAAAAGTTACCATGCTGGCAAACTCACGAAGTATATGAGATGAGCAAATCGGCCCCGTAGTACATATCAGTTGAAGTTTTCAGCAGCATGCTCTTGATACTGAAGAAGAGACGATGTGGAACCATAGGTTGGACTACGTTGACAGTAGAATCGCGTTTGTACTGTTGTTTAGGTAAATCAATGTGAATCTACTGAGCAAAATTACGCTCGAATGCTCTGTACGTTTATGAGGCCACCTATCTGTTGAGTAGTATTTCCGTGTTGAAAAGGTTCACAAAATGGACGGCTCTGGGTGAAATTTGCTTTTTGAACCATCTTGCCTAATTCTATCTCAAAATTCCAGTTTGGAATTGGTCAACCTTGATGAGGTTGCCCGAATTCGGTGTAATAAATGATGTTATTTTGCACAGGTTTTAGTATACTTTGACAATAACCTGTGGTGGCTATGTCTAGGCCATATACTCGAGCATCAAACTGAGTTACTAGTTAGCTGCGATATATTTAGCCAATTGTTCAGCTTAGAATGCACCTCTTATTGTTAAAAGTTATCAACGTTGATCATAACACGGAGAAGCATGCACAGATCTTTTCCATTCCACACTGATTTTTCACTGAACGCGTTCATCTTACAACAATGTTATAGATGTTATAGTTGCGTAACCCACAAAGAATTTCGCTCATTTTGAACTTTAAAGTAAGACTTGTGATAGTTGGGGCGTTTCAATTATCATGATGCCTATCTCGGCAGTTCGCTTCAGGATGTGTGGATAGAGTGAGCTAAAAACCTGCCTCTAAAGCCACCAGTTAGGGAAACTGTTTCAAAGAAAGATGTGAATAAGCTGTTGTCCTGAAACGTTTACGTGAAGTTATTTAACCAGAAATGGTATGGGAAGTAAGAATTAGTGACTTTAAATTGCAAGGTTTGGTGCATCTGGAAATGCAAGCCATTAAGCTTGGAGTGAAACGTTCTATCCGGAAACCACGTGACGTGCTTATACTGGTGCATGCAGGCATCTGCGGTTCTATGCTAACGTGGTATCATTTTATTAACATTACTCCATCACTTTCAATGAAAAAAAGAAGGTAAACAACAAAATTTATTGTTTCCAATAGTCCCTTTCCCCAGGCCGGAAGAAAATTATCATTTTCACCCTTTTAGAACAATCGGTCTAGATGTAAATCAGCCGTAACCATAATGCATATCTTTAAGGCTTCCCACATGGTTCTGTTAAAAACAAATAGAGAGCCGACAATCCTGATGCCCGTATTTAACATCCTTTTCAAAAAATGGCGTTAATTTCGCATCGTGTAGCTTGGGTGTGACTTTATTCTCTTGTTTTGAAAAATATGAGCAAAACCTAGGGAACAAAGAGGTTTTGTGATAAAGCAAACCTACACTGGTTAATTCTATAGTTTACTAATATGAATACCTCGGAAAAGCTTTGGGAAAGCGTACCCAATACTTTAGCTTCAACTGCTGATTCGTCAAAAGGATTTGATCGTCGATGTCTTACGAACCAAATTGTTTTGTGTTTGCTGTCTGTGAACACGTTCAATCTGCCGGAAACAATCCGTCTCCTGCTGCTGAAGTGACCATGGTTTAATGCTGCCAAGCAGACCGAGGTGCAGAAAACAGAATATCGATTCATGTTTTCAAATGATGCTTGAAAATTTCACACCAATCTCCTCACAAATATGCTAATAGGCTGCAGGTGTGTCAAAATTGTTCCAAATACGTCGACGGGAAAAAATTTTTTTATCCCTATGCAAATGCCGTACGTTGGCAAAGTTATAACATGGCATCCAAGAATTTCCTAGCAAAGCATATCAGTACGCTGTATATCCATATATATATATATATATATATATATATC